CTTATCTTATCTTATCTTATCTTATCTTATCTTATCTTATCTTATCTCTATCATCTATGTATCTATCATCCATCTATCTATCTAATGTGAGTGCGTGTGTACTCATGTCAGATGTGTGCAGGTTAGAGAATAACTTATAAGAATCATTTCTCTTGGCATGTAGTGATAGAATTCAGAACTCAGATCATCAGGCTTGGCAGCAAGCACCTTTACCTGATGAGCCATCTCATCAGCCCTTACCTTTCCCCTCTTTCTTGAGACTGAATCTCTCATTGGGACCCAGAGCTTGCTGCTCAGGTAGGCTGGCCAGCCAGTGAGCCATCTCTGAGATTACAAGTATAAACCACTACATATGGGTCTTTCATGTGGATTCCTGGGATTGAACTTCAGTCTTCTCATTTGTGTGGCAAACATTTTAAAGGCTGATCTACCTTACAATATGTTTCTGCTTCCCTTTTCAGCCTCGCCTTCTGTCTTCATTAGGGTTTCTATTACTGCGATGAAGTAATGACAAAAAACAAAACAAAACAAAACAAAAAAACAAACAAAACACCATGACAAAAAAAAAAAAAAGACAAGTTGGGAAGGAAAGGGTTGATTTGGCTTACACTTCCACAGAACTGCTCATCACTGAAGGAAGTTAGGACGGGGGAGGAACCTGAAGGAAGGAACTGATGCAGACGCCATGGAGGGGTGCTGCTTACTAGCTTTTTCCTCTTGGCTATCTCAGCCTGCTTTCTTATAGAACCCAGGACCCCCTGTCCAGGGATGGAACCACCCACAATGAGGCCCTTCCTCATAAATCACTAATTAAGAAAATGTCCTAAAAGCTTGCCTACAGGCCTCATCTTATGGAGACATTGTCTTGAGGTTTCCTCTTCTCAAATCTCTCTAGCTGGTGTCGAGTTGACATACCATTCTCCAGCACAGCTGACCCCTTGTCGCCTTGACACACAAACACATCACTGTTAAGCCACAACTTTTCTTTTCTTGTTCATCCCCAAGATGACACGTTAATATCAATAACAGTATAAAACATTTCACAAACTTAAAAAGTCTCACAGTCTTTACAAATTCAAACACTTCAAAGTTGAGACTTTTTAAAAAATTCAAAGTCTCTTTAAAAAGCCCACAATCTCTTTTAAAATTTAATCTCTCAGCTGCAGGATCCTGTAAAGTCAAAAGTAAATTAAGCATATTTTTGCTCTGAGAGGGAAATACCAGGACATAGTCACAATTAGATCAAAGCAATGTCCAATATCTGGGCTCCTACAAAAAGCTCTCTTCCCCAGCCCCACCCTCCGCATCACACACAGCTTGTCTTCTAAGCTTGGACAGGATCACTGTCCTACTGCCACTGTTCTTGCCAGTCCTTTCATGGTCCTGTCATCTCCAAGATGCTGGGCTCTCTGCTGCATCTGGATGGCACTTTCACCAGCAGCCCCTCCTGGGCTCTCTTTATGGAGCTAAGCCTCGATTTTTCTGCATGGCCCCTCAACCTGGACCTTTAATTGCTATTGAGGCTGCATCTTGGCCAATGGCCTCTCTTGGCTTCTCAGTGCCAAGACTCAGTTGCTCTCCATGACCCCTTATGTCTTCAAAACCAGAACCACCTGGGTAGCTCTTATACTACCAAGTTTGGCTACCAGCTCAAGGTACAACCATGGCCACCTCTGGAACACAGCTTCTGGGTGCAGACTCTTAGGAACCACTTCTCAGAAGAATTTGTGGTTAGTGATGCTGGTCTTTCTTCAATCACTGCTAATTTCTCAGCTTCAGCTAGCCAGCACAATATCCCAGTAAAATAAAAATGATTTAGTGGTTCTGGTCTCCTGTTAATCGTAGCCTATTCTTCAGCCCCAGATGACCAGAACCCCAGATTCCTCACACAAATGGTGCCATAGCATCGTTGTTTCCTCTGAACCTTGACAAAACAGGTTTCTGTTGCCTGTACTGCTCTCAACACTCTTGTCTTCAAGTCTCTGACAAAACAACCCACTGGGCTCTCAATACTCAATGGCTCTTCTAGTCCAAAGTCCTTCCACAATCCTCACAGAAACGTTAAGTCTGCCACATAACCCACACCCCTGGCACTGACTTCTGTCTTAGGGTTTTATTGCTGTGAAGAGACACAAGGACCACAACAACTCTTATGACGGAAACAGTTCACTGGGGCTGGTGGAAAAGTTCAGAGGTTTAGTCATCCTAATATTGGGAAGCATGGCGACACATGGGCAGACACGGTGCCGGAGAGGTAACAGAGTTCTAAGCCCAGATGTGCATGCAGCAAGAAGAGGGCCAACCACTGTGCCTAGCTTGGGTAAATGGAATCCCAAAGTCCACCCCCAGTGACACACTTCCGCAAACAAGGCCACACCTACTTGTACAAGTCAATGCTTCCTAATGCCACTCCCTAACCATTCATATATGTAAGTCTATTGGGGGCTGTTCTCGCTCAAACCACCGTACCTTCCTCTCTCTGTTCCTGCTCTTCAACCCAGCCATGTGATCTCTTTGGCCAGGCTGTTTTTGTCATTTAGTTCTCACCTCTTTCTTGTCACTTCTCTTTTCTATTAAAAATCTAAATAATAAATACATCACGAGCACAGTTTATGCATCACTGACATAATAGTATGAGCAATGTGTGTATCCAAACCACACACCTTCCCTCCCTCTAGAGCAAGCGGTTCTCAATCTGTGGGTCGAGGCCCCCTGGGGTCTCAGAGATCCTGCATATCATATATACACCACAGTTCATAGTGATGGTGAAATTATAGTTACAAAGTAGCAGTGAAATAATCTTATGGTTGGGGTTCGCCACAACACGTGGACTGTATTAAGAGGGACTGAAACATGAGGAACTGTATTGAAGGGTCGCAGCATCAGGAAGGTTGAGGTAAGCGTAGCACTGAAGTGTGTGTGAACTGATCATCCCAGGGCTTTTCTGTGTAGTTTCTCCCACTCTGGTAACACATCCCTACCCAAGCTCCTCTGCTGTGCCTGCTATGAGCATCGCATGAAAGCACATGCTATAAGTGACATGGAGGTTGGCTGTGTCTTCGTGGTTCCTGTCTCATATTTCATGGCAGGGATAGGCCACCATGGGACTGTTCTCTTGTGTATGTGTCACTTGGGCAGCTTTTAGTTTGGGGCTGTTATAAATAGTGTTATGAACATCCTTGTCCATGTCCCCTGTGCCCATGTTCCTCCAGGATACACACCTTGGAATGGAACCTATGGGCCGTAGGGTAGGAGCTTGTGCAGTTTTATTAGGTAATAACAAATGGTTTCCCAGTGTGGCTATAACAGTTTACACATCTGCCAGCAAAAGCAACAGTTCCTGTTCTTTCAGTCTTGCCAGATGAGGTAACACTCAGATATTTAATATCTGCTCCTGTGTTGGAATGGAACGCTCACTCATTGTGGTTTTACATTCTTGCCTCTGAATGCCAGTGAGCCTGAGTTTATTCTTTTTTTTTTTTCTGAGTTTATTCTTTTCCTCTGTTTTCAAAGGTTTACTGACCATTATTATTACATGAAATCCCTGTTTAGATCCTCTGTCTCTCCAAAGTACCTGGGTTATTATTTTATCATTATGTTGTGGAATTCTATTATTTTTAGATATAAATTCCTTATATTTTTTTATTCTGTAGTCTCTTTTGATGGACAAAAGTAGTTACAAAATATATTTCCATGCAGTTCTCTCTTCTGAAAAATCTTGGCTAAAATGCCTCTTAATCTCAAGGTTGTGAGGTATGCTTCTATGTTGCCTTTTGAAAGTTCATACTTTTACCTTTCATATATGAGTTCTCTAGTCCACAAGGAATTGATTTTGACGATGGAGGAATCCAGTTTCATCCTTTCCCCATACAGATACCCAATTAGCTCATTCATCCCTTCTGACCTGTTTGCCATAAATCACGTCTCCACCTTGTCTGTTTCCAGATTTTCTAGCATGTTCCACTGGTTTGAAAGAGCCTGGCGCTAAGTCCGAGCCAAGTTAGTTACTGCAGTTTTAACATGAGATATCTGATCAGCAGAACTCACCCTTCACCCCAAACAAGCCAGACCCTTCTCTTTAGAAATCTTTTGGCCCCCTGCTTTTCAACATTCTGTTTGAACCTTAGAGTTAATTTTTGAGTTTCATGAAAAGAAACTCTAGAGCTGTCGAGTTTGTGGATAATTTAGGGGAGAATAACAAC